AGGAGAAGGTCCCCCGCACCCCTTCCTCCTTCTCCACCTTGGGGTCCTCCCAGTCCACTGCCCCATCGTGCTTCTGCTCTGCCCTGTTTCTGGTCCCCTCGGAGAGGGGGTCTGCTGCTGGGTTCCAGAGCCGTCCCCAGAGCTCTCTGGGTGCCTGCCCCTCCCCCACTGCCCAGGCATCCACTGCCTGCAGCCAGCCTGACCAGGGCTCCAGCAGCTCCGATGAGGAGGGGTCCAGCCCCTGCGAGGAGCCCAAAGAAGCCCAGCCAGGGCACCAAAACCTACACCAGGGGAAGCTCGCCTGGCTGGTGGAGTTCCTGCTCCTCAAGTATCACATCAAGGAGCTGACCAGCCAGGCAGAGATGCTGGAGATCGTCAGCCAGGATGCGCTGGATACCTTCCCTGTGATCTTGGGCCAGGCCTCCGAGTACTTGCAGCTGGTCTTTCGTATGGATGTGAAGGAAGTGGACCCCAGCGACCACTCCTACATTCTGGTCCCCATCCTGGGCCTCACCTATGATGGGATGCTGAGTGGTGAGCAGGGAGTGCCCAAGACCGGCCTCCTGGTGGTGCTCCTGTGGGTGAGTCTCCTGCATGGCGACTGTGCCCCCGAGGAGTAGGTGTGGGAAACGCTGGGGGTCATGGTGGTGTATGCTGGCCAGGAGCACATCATCTACAGGGAGCCTAGGGAGCTCCTCACCAAGGTCTGGGTGCAGGAAGGGTACGGGGAGTACCGGCAGGTGCCCGGCAGTGTCCTGCCTGCTACGAGGTCCCGTGGGGTTCCAGGGCCCACGCTGAAACCAGCAAGATGAAAATGCTGGAGTATTTGCTCCGGGTCAGGCGCGGGCAGCTGGCTTCCTCCCTGGCCCTGTCTGAAGGGACTGTGAGAGATGAGGAAGAGGGGGCCTGAGCCCTGGGGTCCGCCAGGCCCTTTCCAGGCTTTGCTGGGTTCGGCAGCCTCTCCTGCGGGGTGCTGGGCATGAAGTGAGGCCGCTTGCTGGTTCTTCCCTGTGTGTGTGTTTGTGTGTGCCCGTGAAGACAGAGCCCTGGGCGTTTTAAGGAGTGCAGGGCCAGGGAGGGTTGGGAGAAGAAAGCAGGGCAAGGAGCCTCCTGCGGGTTGGGGGGGGTTGTTTCCTGGGATGACTCTCACATCCAGAGCTTGGTGTCCTTGAGGAAGCTCTTCTGTGGGGTTCCTTGCCATAGAAGGTTTCAGCCGCTTCAGGGGCTGATTGTGTGAGTACCATCCACTCTGCAGCATTTGTTCTTACCCAGTCCAAGAGTTAAGAGTTTTATCATGTTCTTGGGGTGCCTGGGTCTTCTGTTGGTTAAGCGTCTGCCACTGGCTCAGGTCAGGATCTCAGGATCCTGGGATCACACCCCACATGGGGCTCCCCGCTCAGTGGAGACTCTGCTTCTCTCTCTCCCCTGTGTATGCTTTCTCTTTCTCAAATAAATAAATAGCTTTAAGGAAAAGTTTTTCTTCATGCCCTGGACACCTGCCTGGACACCTTGCCTACTTGCTTGGGCTCTGGACCGAAATCACAGGGCATTGGCCTAGGGATGGGTTGGAATGGCGCAAGAACGGAAGAAGCAAGGAACAGGGGTCAGAAGCTGAAGAGATAGAAGTTTGCTGGTTCTTGCTTCTGATGCCTTCCCGACCATCATTGTGCAAATGCCAAAGGCAAGCACGCGCACACAAGCGTGGGGACGGGGGCAGGAGGGCCCAGGTTCTGTCAGGAGTCAAGGTGAGGACCAGAGGGAGGAATGAAGGACCCTGGATCCAGTAGGGAATCAGTCCTGGGAGGCCTCTCGGTGAGACAACGGTGACATGAGACGTGTCCTGATTTCTGCTCTGGGTCCCAGAGACACTGAGTGCTTCTTGTGAGAAGTGGCCCTCCGGAGCAGGGATGAGGGCACCGGCCATCCAGGGAGTCCAGATGGGGAACAGAGGGTAGGGCTAAGGGACCCGAAGGACCCATCTCGGGGAATCCCTGGACTGTGTAGCCTGATGCGACGTCCACAGTCTTTGCCCGTGGCTCTCAGGGCAGTGAGTGCTTTGGTCCGAGGGAATAGGCCTGGAGACAGCAGAGACAGCATCACCAGGTGTGCTGCGGCTCATGCTGAGATCCCTGAGGGAGGGCTCAGGGAGGGACCTTGACTCGAGAAGAGGGACAACGCACTGAAGCCTTCCCCTGCTGTCCGTCCTGGGAGGCCTGTTTGTGCCAAGTCCACAGGCGGTGTGTCAGGACGTCCGCATCCTGGTCTGACAGAGGCTGGGGGCCGGCTTTAAAAAACCGGGGGTCAGGAGCTAATGGAGGAAGACCCAGGCCCGGCCCAGGGCCTGGTGGAAGCACAGCTGTCAGGGGCTGGGGAAGAGGAGGTCCCAGCAGCTTAGATGAGGAGGGTTCGAGCACCTGGGAGGAGCCGGAAGTCACGCAACCCTCTCTCCAGGACAAACTCCACGTGAAAGTGGCTGCCCTGGTGGAGTTCCTGCTCCTGAAATACCGCAACAAGCAGCCGACCCGCCAGGCAGAGATGCTCGAGATCATCAGCAAAGATTACCAGGATGACTCCCCAGTGATCTTGGGCCAAGCCTCCGAGTGCATGCGGCTGGTCTTTGGCATGGACGTGAAGAAAGTGGACCGCAGTGACCACTCCTACATCCTGGTCAATGTCCTGGGTCTCGTCTGTGATGGGATGCTGAGCGGTGAGCATGGCATGCCCAAGACCGGCCTCCTGGTTTTGGTCCTGTGGGTGAGCCTCCTGCATGGCGACCGTGCCCCCGAGGAGGAGGTGTGGGAAACGCTGGGGGTCATGGGGGTGTATGCCGGCCAGGAGCACATCATCTATGGGGAGCCCAGGGAGCTCTTCACCAAAGTCTGGGTGCAGGAAGGGTACCTGGAGTACCGGCAGGTGACTGGCAGCGACCCTGACCGCTACGAGTTCCCGTGGGGTCCCAGGGCCCATGCCGATCCAGCAAGTTTCAAGTGCTGGAGTATTTGCTCCGGGTCAGGTGCGGGCAGCTGGCTTCCTCCCTGGCCCTGTCTGAAGGAGCTGTGAGAGATGAGGGAGAGGAGGCCTGAGTCCCAGTGGCGGCCAGGCCCGTTTCAGGCTTTGGTGGGGTAGGCAGCTTCTCCTGCGCGGTGCTGGGCATGAAGTGAGGCCACATTTTGGTTCTTCCCTGTGTGTGTGTGAAAAGAGAGAGCCCCAGGAGTTCTAAGTAAGGCAGGGCCAGGGAGGGTTGGGGGAAGAATGTAGTGTGAAGAGCCAGCCTCTCTGGGGGCCTGTTCTCTGTGATGACTCTGACATCCAGAGCTTGGGTTTCTTGAGGAAGCTCTCAAATGTTGTTCCTTGGAGTAGAAATTTTAACCAGCTTCGGCAGGTAAATGTGTGCGTGACATCCACCCCAAAGCATTTGGACTTACCCAGTTCAAGAGTTTTAAGAGGTTTGTCATGTTCTGGAAATAAGGTGGGAGATCTTCCCTCCTTGTTTGGGTTCTGGAATGAAATCATGGGGCATTGGCAGAGGAATTTGTTGGAAAGGTGGAAAAATGGAGCAGTCAAGTGATGGGGTCAGGAAATACGGAAATAAAAGATTATTCATTTTTGCTTCTTACAACTTCTCGTCTGTCATTCTGCAAATTAACAAAGATGCGTGCGCCTTCACTCACTTAGTTCTTCAAGAAAGGAGGAGAAATGACATCTTAGCACAGAGGGAGCCCTGCTCACTGGCTCCTTGATTCCCAGACATGGGCTGAGCTCTGCTCTCTGGAAGGCCCTGTGTGTGAGCAGTGAGGACATTAGGAAAAGCAGGACACGTTCCATCCTTAGGGGACTGTCTAGCAGCTGCACTCATGGCAGGAAAGTGGGGAGAGGTGTCCTGAGACCTGCAGAAGAAGTGGAAGAAGTGTGAGGGAGTGCGGCTCCCGGGGCAAGCACTGCAGTGGAAGTGCCCCTGGCCTGGGTGGCTCAGGGTGTCGGGTCACCGTGCTTCCTTCTGTGCAGCTGATCACCGTGAACCTGGGGGGTGACAGTGGCCCTACTTGGAGACAGGGTACCTTAGAGGTGGGAGCAAAGTCTGAAATGGATAATTGCTCTGAGAAGTTCCTTCTGGATCATGGACAAACCAGGGAGAAATCTCCTCCTGGGGCAGGAAAAGAAGGTATCCTGCACTCTCATCCCAAGGCCGTTGAACACAGTGCACAGACTAGGTGTTTTATATCCGTCATCTGCAAGTATTTCTGAAGAAATACAGTGATATTTCTTTGAAGTGGAGCCCAGAAGACTCTAGACTGGCACTCTTGTCCTAATCATGCAAAGCCAGAACCCACTGCATTAAAAAGTCATTTTAGTTTGATTATCTGGAGTGTAATTTGGACAGCTATAAGTAAGCAAGGTCTAGGTTTTGGTGGGGGGAGAAATCAGTGAAAAGAGTGGTTTGGTGGAAGAACAGCTGGGAGGGAGGGAAGGAGCTCGTCTTTGACTCACATTCCAGGAGCTTTGTATTGTGTCCAGCTGGGACAATTCCCTCACAGCTGAATGCCATACATATTCTCATATATCTCACATATATCCTCTGATTTAGAAAATGGATTGAGTTTTACTTATGAAGCACCCTCTTTGGCTGATTAGCTATTCCATGTCCTATTGAGCTGCACATTCTCTAACATGACCTCGGTAACCAAAAATAAATAAATAAATAAATAACCCAGAGGAGAGAGTGGAAGGCCCTGGGATCAAAACAACACTTGAAATCACTGCCATTCATCAAAGTTCCAATATGTGCCAGGCACTGTGCAAGGTGCTTTCCATATATCACATGCATTCCTGCAGTCCTGCAAGACGGGGTTTATGTTGCTAAGGAAGGAAGGTGACAATGAGAATCAAACAGGTTTTGGGTACTGTCTGTGGGCTTTTTTAACCTAGAGTTCTTCTGCCTGAAACCCAGAGTTCTTTGAAAACTGACTGCCCAGGCGCTGGTAATTTTTCCAGACCTGGCACTTTCCTAAATTACAGCAGCCTTTCCCTGGTATTCCCCTGTGTGCTCTTCTGTCTCATTCTTGAACCTGGCCTGCTAACGTGCTCAGCACTGGTCCCCATGGAACAGCTAGGAATCACCTTCTCTCCCCCAACATAGAACCTTACTCTCTGTAGTAATCCTCTGGTCACTAAATGAAGAAGTGAATCCTCCCTGCTGGGATCACAGAATCGTTTGAAAATCAGATGTCATCCTGTACTTGAAAGTATCTGTCACACAGGAGGTGCTTGAAAATTTCAAAGAATTCCAAGGCAAACTGACCTCAAAAACTCCTCCCCTGGGATGCCTGGGTGGCTCAGTCAGTTAAGCATCTGCCTTTGGCTCAGGTCATGATCCCAGGGTCCTGGGCTCGAGTCCCACATCAGGCTCCCTGCTCAATGGGGAGCCTGCTTCTCCCTCTGCCCGCTGCTCCCCCTGCTTGTGCAATCTCTTTGTCTCTCTCTCTCTCACTGACAAATAAAAAAAATCTTAAAAAAAGAAACTCCTCCCAGCAATAAAGTCAGTCATAACAAATTATAATAGTTGCATTTGGTTAAGCCCCTATTGTGTAACAATACATGGGAGAAACTTTAATGTTCATCCATAGTGTGTCTTGCTTTCCTTCCAGGATACAGGGGACACCACCTTGCCAGTCCCCTTGTAGTTAGGGAGGGCTGTGTGATGACCCTTTGCCATGGAGATGTGAGCAGAAGCATTGTTTCTCATGTCCAGGCATTTGCGAGCCAGCATGTCCACTCCATGCTGTCTCCCTTGATTCACCAGCAAATTTGGTGACCCCGTGTTGAGATAGGGGAGCCACAAGATGAAAGCAACCTGGACCCAGGGTCTAGGAAAAGCAGAGGCCCCTGCCAAACTGTATCAGAATTTGTGTGCACAAAGATGCACTTCTGTTGTGTTAGCCCTTCAAATGTCACAGTTTGTTGCATCAGTTAGCAGTTACTTTCATGCAGCCGCTTTTTTTGTTAGGCTTATCTAGCAATTTTACTTAAGAAGGTAGTAGTGCATATCTTCCTATTGCAAAAAAACTTCTAAAAATACAGATGAGTCACAATATCCCCTCTTCAAAGTTCCTCCACAATTCAGCCTCCTCCTCAGAAGTCACCATGACTAACAATCTAGTGTGTGTTACTTTTATTTTTTTAATTTAAAATATTTTATTTTCCTTGAGAGAGAGAAAGAGTGTGTGATGGAGGGAGGGGCAAATAGAGAGAGAGAGAGAGAGAGAGAGAGAGAGAGAGAGAGAGACTCTCAAGCAGGCTCCATGCAGAGCCCGATTCGGAGCTCAGTCTCAGGACCCTGAGATCATGATTTGAACCAAAATCAAGAGTCGGACGCTTAACCAGCTGAGCCACCCAGGCGCCCCTAGTGTGTGTTATTCTAAAGGTGACTATGGCTTTTTCATAGATATGCTCTACATATATATTGTTTTTATTCAACCTAACCCGTAATACTGTGCATATTTATCTGCCACTAGCTTTTGTCACTTAATAAAATGGATGCAGAATCTTCCCATAACAGCACATATAGACCTACCTCACTTTTGAAAGTATTCCCTGGAATGTTAAAGTTTGTATATACCAAAATTAATCACATACACAATTTTTTCCTGGTGGAAACAAGTTGTTTTCCCTTTATCGTATGACTAATAAAATGAAAACAACATCTCTGACCTGAATCCTTGGGTAGATATGAATGTTTTCTAATAAGATATATGTACTAACACAGACATTGGGTTAGAGTGGAGAGGGTGTGAATTGTTTAACATTTCATAAATGCGTCTGAAATTTTATTCCACAAGTGCTATACCAGTTTGCATTCTCATAAAAATTGGAAATGATTTAAGATTCTGCAGTATCAACAAGACATTTCCCCCTCTACTTTGAGAAAGAGGGATTTGGCCAGAATGACCAGCAGCCAGGGGAGGAGACCAGCCAGGACACCCTCAGCTAGTGAGGGGCACTGAGAGCATCCTGGGGAAAGTGATGGCCAGAGTCCATGAGAGAAAACGAGTACGAAACCAAGTCCAGAGAGCCCCAGGCAGGCTGGCAGTCAGGGCTCTGAATCTAGAGTTCGGCTTAGGGGGAAAGGGGCCAAAAGGAGAGATGGTGGAGAGGTGGAGGGATTCAGGAGAAAGAACGTGGATGGGCTGGGGAAGCATCTGAATACTTATCACCAGCTGGAAGTTGTGGGGTGGTCTGAGAGGGCAGGTCTGTTGGATGAATGGATCGGCAGCATGCCAGACACCCCACTACTGTAGAGTCCCCCTACCTCTGTCAGGAAGAGTACACTTGTCTCCCTGCCCCTGAATTCAGGTGAGCGACATCTCTTGACTACTCTAGTGGTCCAGGGCATCCTTGCCGGGGTCCCAGGGCTGGGAGCTGTCATGATGCCTGCTGGAGGCAGGGGGCTTTACCCCTGGGTGGAGTGCAACCCCACATAGAGGGTGGGGCTATGTGAGTGAGGGGTGGGTGACCAAGGAAGGACAGCTGAGATAGGCCAGGAATACCCAGGAGCAGTGGAAGGGAGCGTGCTGCTAGCTGCAGGGAGGGTGAAATTGGAAGGAGAAAGCCCTGGGCCAATCAACTCAGACTCTGCAGATAAAGGGCGGGGCATGGACACGCTTCAAAGCTGTCCAAATGGTGTCCACGGCTCAGACTCCCTTCCCGGGCTCCTGAGGTCGTGGCATAGCAGGGGCGGGGGTCCTGTCCTGTGGCTAGGACGGCTGGCCTGTGTTGCCACTAGTCTGCAGGGTGGGCGGAAAACCTGTGGAGATGGCTTTTTCTTATCCAACTGATAAGAAAGTGTGGGCGCCAGTGCAGGACAAGGAGCATAAATGGGCTGGGGAAATCTGATAGACCGTGTTTCCTAGGAAGGAAGCACCACGGACCATCCTGTTGAGAGCAACCCCACCTCCAAGATGGTGTTTGGACCTGGGGAGGAAACGTCCATGGTGACACCCTCAATAATATTTTCCCATAGGAATTCTGAAGTTCTGTGAGCAGTTGGAGAACTGTGGGTTTCA